CACACACACACACTCTCAAACAGACACACACACACACACTCTCAAACAGACATACACACACACACACACACACACATACGCACACACACACACTCTCAAACAGACACACACACACACACACACACTCTCAAACACACACACACACACACACACACACACACACACACACACACACACACACACACACACACACACACACACACACACTCTCAAACACACACACACACACACACTCTCAAACAGACACACACATACACATACACACACACACACGCACACAAACACACATATGTCTGTGCCATATTTACCCCAAAAACTAAAGAAAAATGAATTTTTATGGCGATTTAGTAATCTCAAAAAAGGCTTAATTTTTTATGCAAAACAAAATTATTTTATTATTTTAATTTTTTTTTTTTAATTTTGGGGGTGAAACGTGACCAGTGAATCCTGAGATTCAGTCGCTATGTATTGCACATACTAAAGTTGCATGCATGTTTTCATGCACACACAAACACAAAATAGCTACTAAATCAACATTTAATTTTGTTTCTCTGTAGTAAAAACACACAAAATGTGTGTTTAGATGAAGTACAAAGAGCTCAGAAGTGTTTCAGTGTTGTTTGCAATGACTTTCAGTGGTATATAGTGAGTAAGGCTTGTGTATTTGGCGGTTCTGTGGATTATTACACGGTGTTTTTCAGATTAGCTGTGTGTGGGTGTGATGGAGTCGTCGGGCCCGAGCACAGCCGCTCCAGAGTTTGATGTGTACGGGGCGATGGACTGGAAGGACGGAGTGGGAACACTGCCTGGCAGCGAGCTCAAGGTTAGCAAAGACATATAGGCCTCTATTATGTAAACATAAGACTGTCTATGAACCTAAACATGACGTTAAATCTTTATGATGTTTTAATAGTGGTCTGATGGTCATCTTGTAGGAGTGTGTAGGTTAGTTGTGTACGTTCAGTGTGTGTGTGTGTGTGTGTGTGTGTGTGTGTTTTAGTTCCGGGTGAATGAGTTTGGGGTCCTGGAGGTCATAACGGACGAGATGGAGGAGGAGAGGGGCAAAAAAGCTCACGCCACCACCACGTGGAGCGTCCCCACTGCACAAGAGGGTAAACACACCACCATACGCTTGTGTTTGGGTTTATTACAGCAGACGAAGCGCTCTTAAGCACCCCCGTCCCCCTGATTACTGTTTCTAACTTGTGTTACACAACATCCCATAGGAATGAACTGGAGATTTCTGTGATTTGTCTGTAAAAATGACTGGATTTTATACTTGAGTGGGCTGGAATGAATCGTGAGATTGCAAAGCATTTTCATCTGCCATGTTTCCTTAATTACACAGTAACATAATTTAACAGGAGAGACTGTGAATCAGAATGGAGTCAAATGAAAAGAGAAAAGCCTCATTTTCACAGCGATTACAGCTGATCATGTTAGCGCAGGTGAACAGATGCAACACATTCACTACGGTACTGAACTCTTGCATACTGTCACAATACAGTCACCTGAAATAATGTTCAGTTAAAGTAAAAATACCAAAAATGAAAAGTGGTATCCTGCAAGAATTACTTCTCCCTGATTTAAACCATATAAATGAGTTTTGTTGGTATAAATCAATGTATTTTGGTTCATTCAGTGACGCTAATGTTTTGACTTGATTATAACTTGTTAACTTAGATGTTTTTAGGTTACTATTTTTTCAGTGTATAAGTATGATGCTAAATTCACGTAAAAAAAAACAACAACTTACAAGTATACTTGCAGTATAAAAACTATTAAACTAGTAGTTTACTGAGAGTGCACTTCAACGTGTACTAAACAGGGATATATAAGAATATAACAAGTAAAATAGAAGTTGTGAATAAAAAAAGGTTAAGTAAGTTTTACAAGAAAATACTGTCAGTCTTTATACTTCAAAATTTTATGTTTAATTCAGTGTTACTTGCTGTTTCTTTGTAATTATTTGTAAAATTGTAATGACAAGTTCAGAGTGTAAAATGTTTTAAAGTAATTTTTTCAGTGTATTGTTGTGATACCAAAGAAAAATGTAGATGTAAACAAGCTGTAGTGATCTAACACTTAAAGTACACATAAAATGACACTTTCATAAACTAAAAACCGGACCAATTTTCTTCCATTAAGTATTGAAATAGTACACTTACGTACTACTAGTATGTTAATTTTAATATAATTATTACTACATCAAGGTAATTGGAAAACATCCTTGAACTTTTCCTAAGTTTGTTTAACAAAATAAACTAATATACTTCTTTGTTGTAAAAGTAGTGACATCGATTGACAGTGGAGCAGATGTAGGTGAGATTACTGATGTCCTACATGTTCATTTCCTACACGAGTCAGTATTATAAGTGACCTGGCAAGAAGGTTTAGTGTTGAATGGCATTTGAAAACGATCCAAACACACAGATCCTCCATAGACTTACATTTGAATAGAGCACAGGCCTGTCTGATATTGCAGGTGGTGATTGGTCAGTAATGTTATCAGGTAAAGGGTCAGTCAGTCAAGAGTTACATTTTGTTATTTAAGGGTCTTGTGTTGATTTTCCTCAGCTCTCTCTAAGGAGCCGGTCTCAAAGGAGGAGACGTCGTGGGCCCAGCGAGGCCTCGTGTGTGTCCGCTGTAACAGGAAGGGCTCGGTGGTGGACTTCCTGTCTGACGGGCTTCACTGCAGTGAGCGCTGTCTGCAGCAGAAGCAGCAAGAGTAAGTCCTGCACTGTACTAAACCCACTGCGGGCACAAAAAGTCAAGCATCACTGTCACTACTGATCATATGTGACCCTGGAACAAAACCAGTCAAAAGGGTCAAGGGTTTTTCGAAATTGAGATTTATACATAATCTGAAAGCTGAATAAATAAGCTTTCCATTGATGTATGGTTTGTTAGGATAGGACAATATTTGGCCGAGATACAACTATTTGAAAATCTGGAATCTGAGGGTGCAAAAAAAAATCTAAATATTGAGAAAATCACCTTTAAAGTTGTCCAAATGAAGTTCTTAGCAATGCATATTACTAATCAAAAATTAAGTTCTGATATATTCACGGTAGGAAATTTACAAAATATCTTCATGGAACATGATCTTTATTAATATCCTAATGATTTTTGGCATAAAAGAAAAATCAATAATTTTGACCCATACAATGTATTTTTGGCTATTGCTACAAATATACCCCAGCGACTTAAGACTGCTTTTGTGCTCCATGGTCACATATGTGGTGTTAGTGATGAGCTAAACAACTCTTAAATGTGCTGTAAGTGTTTTAAGTCGTCCTGCAGCGTTTGAACGATTCCTCAGATCATGTGTGCTGTTGAGGAGAGCAGTGTTGGGGGAACGCATTAAAAGTTACGTAATTAGATTACTTTTTCAAGCAACTAGTAAAGTAATGCATAACTTGTAAATTTACAATTAAATATCTGCGTTACTTTTTCAAATAAGTAATGCAAGTTACTTTATTTTCCCATTTATTGACTGACAGCTCTCCTGTCCCGTGTTGAGAGAAATCAGGAGTGAGTTTCAAAGGCTCTTTCTTCAGCCTGAAGCTTATTAATTTCACTTTTGGTGTGAAAGGGCCTTTACAGTTGCCAAAAATATAACCTTTGGGTTTTTCGTTGTTAAAGGGGTCCTATTATGCTTTTTCACTTTTTCAACTTTAGTTAGTCTGTAGTGTTTCTGTTTGAGCATAAAAAATATCTGCAGAGTTACAAAGCTCAAAGTCCACTTCAAAAGGAGATATTTTATTTAACAGAAATCACTTTTCAAAAACTACAACGAACGACTCGTTTGGACTACAACGCATATTTTCCGGGATTTGTGATATCACAAGTATCGACGAATGGGACGAGACCTGGTTGAGCTGCACTAGAGAAGGCAACGAGTGTTATCACTATGTCGGAGACACGCTAGCTTTCCCAAGGCAGACGAACTTAGAGTGGTTACAATCATCCGGGTTTAAATCGCGCTCAAATTGATTTGATTTTGACGCAATATTTACACTGAAGCTGCAGGCGTAAGGGGCATGACATTTCCCGACCAGGCGCCGAGTGGTGCCAATCACAACACACACTGGCCCAGCTAACCAATCACAGCACACACTGACCCAGCTAACCAATCACAACACACACTGGCCCAGCTAACCAATCACAACACACACTGGCCCAGCTAACCAATCACAACACACACTGGCCCAGCTAACCAATCACAACACACACTGGCCCAGCTAACCAATCACAACACACACTGGCCCAGCTAACCAATCACAACACACACTGGCCCAGCTAACCAATCACAACACACACTGGCCCAGCTAACCAATCACAACACACACTGGCCCAGCTAACAGCACACACTGGCCCAGCTAACAAATCACAGCACACACTGGCCCAGCTAACCAATCACAGCATATTTTGTATTTCAGAAGCACACAGAAGCCTTCATTTGATACAGGAACTATTCGAGCCGTTCATGCCACACACTGGCCCACAATACACACTGGCCCAGCTAACCAATCACAACACACACTGGCCCAGCTAACCAATCACAGCACACACTGGCCCAGCTAACCAATCACAGCACACACTGGCCCAGCTAACCAATCACAGCACACACTGGCCCAGCTAACCAATCACAGCACACACTGGCCCAGCTAACCAATCACAGCACACACTGGCCCAGCTAACCAATCACAGCACACACTGGCCCAGCTAACCAATCACAGCACACACTGGCCCAGCTAACCAATCACAGCACACACTGGCCCAGCTAACCAATCACAGCACACACTGGCCCAGCTAACCAATCACAGCACACACTGGCCCAGCTAACCAATCACAGCACACACTGGCCCAGCTAACCAATCACAGCACACACTGGCCCAGCTAACCAATCACAGCACACACTGGCCCAGCTAACCAATCACAGCACACACTGGCCCAGCTAACCAATCACAGCACACACTGGCCCAGCTAACCAATCACAGCACACACTGGCCCAGCTAACCAATCACAGCACACACTGGCCCAGCTAACCAATCACAGCACACACTGGCCCAGCTAACCAATCACAGCACACACTGGCCCAGCTAACCAATCACAGCACACACTGGCCCAGCTAACCAATCACAGCACACACTGGCCCAGCTAACCAATCACAGCACACACTGGCCCAGCTAACCAATCACAGCACACAATGGCCCAGCTAACCAATCACAGCATATTTCGTATTTCAGAAGCACGAGAAGGCTTTAAAAAGGTCTTAAATCAGAGCAAAAATTCATCCATTCATTAAAAAAATTCATAAACAATAAATGCATTGCATGCATTGCTAAAAATGTATGTCTGTTTGATTTGTTTTCCAATGCAAATATCTAAACATTCTTAAATCAAGATACATATTTGAGATGCTAAATATAAGATATGAAGTTTTGTTTTCTGAGAAATTGAACCGAATTAAGTGAGTTTGTTTAAAACAAGAACAAATATTTGTCAACATGGAATGAAAACTTTTTTTCCCTTCGAATTAAGTTGATTTTTCGAGCCCATGTTTAGATTTTTTTTTTTTTAATCAGAGACACTTCATTTTGATCAATTTCACAGAAAACAGGACTTTTCATCTTCTGTAAATGTGTAGAGTAAATGTATCTTGATTTAAGTATCTTTAAACATTTGCACTAGGAAACGACAAAAATACTGAGAAATTTTTTTGCAATGTGATCAGAAGTTCCAGAAGAAGTTATTTCATTATTCTAGTGTTTGGGAGAAGAGCGATTCAAGCGATTCAAAAAGTAATGGAGATCTCTTGTAAATTGTATTTTTTAAAGTTTAAAGTGTTGCTAATTCAACTCATTGTGTGCTCTGTAGACATTTACTTGTTTATTCATGTTTATTCATCCTAATTTTATTACTTGGTCTTAGAAATGTCTTTAAAATGTCTTAAATGTACCTTCCTAAAACCTGCATAAAAAACCTTGTCAGTCTTTTGCTTGCACACACACAGACACACACACACACACGTTTGTTTTTTTTTAATTGTGGGGACATTCCATAGGCATAATGGTTTTTATACTGTACAAACTGTATGTGCTATTGCCCTACATCAACCCTACCCCTTACAGGAAACTTTGTGCACTTTTACTTTCTCAAAAAAAACTCACTCTGTATGATTTATAAGCGTTTTGACAAATTGGGAAATGGGGTTATGTCCTTATAAGTCACCTTGTAATACCTATGTCATACCCATGTCATTATACAAAGTTTTGTCAAAAGCAGTTTCCTCACAACTTGAAAGACAGGATGGCCTAGTTGTTGCACATGGACATTTCTTCTTGAGTGGAGAAACGGGCCAACCTTCTGCATGACAGCGAAGGTGAGGAGGGGAAAGGAACAATCAGATCTGGGCCAATTACTAGAGAGGTCAGACGCTTGAGTCGCCCACACACACACACACACACACACACACACACACACACTCACAGGCCCTTGCAATATGCATATGGCGATACATTGGCGACTTTGATCATCTCAATATATCCCGCAGCCCTGTTAGCTCTGCATTCAACAGCACTCGTCTCTGACACACTGAATGCAGATATCTGACAGCTACAGCTCACTAAACCCGCGCTTGGCCTGTACTGGGATCAGTGGAGTATAGTGACGTGTGTGTGAGGTTTGAGGGAGCTGATCTGAGCTGCAGTTGTCATGTGTTTGTTTGTGAGCACTGGGAAACACGCTTGCATTGACTGACCTCTCACACTGGTTTGAAAGAGCATTAAAATTTAGTGTGTGTTTAGAATGGAATGCAAGTGCACTGCATACTGAATGATATAATATAAAGATAGCATGTTAAACAATATGCAGTATCATGTAATGATAAATATTTAAAATAGTAGTAGTATAATATGCTCAATTATACACACCTTAGTAAAGTGATTTAGTTAACATCTTGGAAATAAAGCAGTTGTTTAGTGTTTTAGTCTGCTTTTGTGTAAAATCATCCTGACTGACCGTTTTCTCTCTGATCAAATGAGTCAAGACGGAAAACGCATGCAGTATGGCTTCCGGAGCACGTGTTCACAGAAAAGGAAGGTCAGCTTGAGTGCAGTGTATTGTTGTAAACACAAGGTTCCCAGCACAGTCGCCTAAAACCTAGAAATTACATAGAAACTGTGATATCCAATCCAAATAGTCCTTGAGAATTAAAATATCCTACGTTTGATCTGCTCTGAAATATTTCATTGGCTAAACATTGATGAAAACATCCATTTGTTGGTTAGTTGCTCATTCTGACCGACCTAATTTTTTAATAATCACTGTGAAGCTGTATTGTATAAAGCTCTGTAGAAATAAAGGTGACATGACTTGACTAAATGTTAACTGACTGTAATAAGATCACTTATGTGACTCATTGGGTGGCAAATGGTAATAACCAAGAAGCTTCTCAAAAGATCAAATCAGCCAGTGAATGGCATTCACGTCTTTTATTTATTTTTTTGTCGTGTTGGAAAAACTTGCACACATACAGAAGTGAAATTCCCTTAGCCATAGTAAAATCACTGTAACACCCAGCCTTGAGTGGCCTATTGCTTTTGTAAAACAGCAATGTGATAAAAGACACGTTCAGTAAATATCTGTTATAATGCTAGTTAGGTGTTGCAGGTATTCATGCATGCATAAAATTGGTCAAATGTGTATAGTATGCATAGTGCATACTTTAAATTTGCTTCTGTTGCTGCCCTCTCACTGATTTGTTAAACACCATAGTGTTGCTATGAAGCTTTCATGTTGTGGTATTTTCCAGTCAGCTGTGAACAGATTTGCTGTGATCAGTGAAGCTTAACGTGGAGCAGGTGGGAGCTTTATGAGATGAATGTATTTGACGTCCTGCCTGTTCCTAAACATAGGCCAGACAATCATTCATACAATCAGTAAGCTTTATATTTTTCAGGGTGTGAAGTTAGATAAGCTATGTAAGTTTTCAGGGTGTGATTTGCACCAAATGTATGTAACACACTGTTATGCCACGAATATAGACTGTTGTTTAGAATTTCATTAGCCAAGTGTCATTATAAATATTAAAATAAGTTGAAGTTATAGTTAGTGTGGGAGAAGAATAGTGTTTGGGACAAATTTATACTCAAATTAAAGAGGTGATGTTGTGGTTTATTTGTATGTGCTGTCTGTGCTATTGTAGTGGCAAATTTGCTGAAGGAATTGACCTATTGGTAAGCCCCTCCCCTCAAACGCAGATGAGCCAATGGCAGTCGAGTATCAGTTGCACGGGGAGCGAAACATCTTTAGGTTTCAGCGCCATAGACAAACATGGGAGGATCCGAAGCTCGCATCGCTTTAATGGTGTTTATGCTACAAAAATGGAAAAACGATGTGCCTGGGGTACTTGTAACACTGATTCCAGTTATCCTGAGAGGATAGGCAATGTAATTTATTTTATTCCATTTCCTAAATCCAACCAAAACAGAGTAAAATGTCCCGAAGGATTCAACCCCAATCACAATGAAGACGAAAACGTTCATTTTCTGGTTGTCATACTCTCATTAAGTTACACTCTTCATCTGCTCAAGCAGAACGTTAATGTCATCTTGTGCTTCAGCAAGGTATCTCTGGCTAAAACTAGCTAACGGTCAAGTTAGTGAGTCCATGCTAACGTACAAACCTAATTAGCGAACTGTTCTCACGTCATGTACCGTGCAGTGAAAGTCAAAAACACATAAACGAAGGTCTATATTAGAGTGCCTCTCCATGTTAATCTGGTTAAATGTAAATTAATTGAATCTTACTCTGCGGTATATGAACGGTGTTGATTCGGGATGTTGTCATTGCGATCGTGACGACCGTAACATAATCCTCCCGTTTGCATTGAGATCTGTATTTTTACATATTTATTTTAATATATTTTATATATCCCTCCATGGCATATTTAAGTCCCACTTGAAGGTCCATCAGAAACACCTCGGAAGAAGGTTTTCACTGACAGCTGTCATTGTAAGACAGTGAGCAGCTCTGTTTGTTTGTCCGAGTGAGCAACAGTAACTAAGGGGGGCGGGGCTTATCGATAGGTCAATTGAGCAAAATTTCTACAAAGTAACACACAAACACAAAATGAGTGCTTGCACAGCACAAGACTACACAGTGTAGTGTACTTACTAGTGTACTCTATCACTCAACCTCTGCAGTATCAGCCAGCGTGTTAAAATGCTGAAAGTTCACTCGACTACACGCCACATCTGGATATATACCCAGTCATAATGCTCCTCTCTGTCTTATAACATCTTTCTTAAACAGAATTCTGCTTACCACTAGTGATGAGCTCTTCGTGATAAGATCCAGGAGTTTGCACTTTTGCATCGTTGATGTGTTGATGTATTGAATTATTGTTGCGAATCATGTAAAGCAACAAAAGGCAAGAATGACTTCATCATTTAGAATGGATTGAAAATGATGCACACATCAGCGATGTTTCACGCAAGTGATGTTTTCTAGCAGAAGTGTGTTTATGAATTCCTCACTGTCATGCATTCACATTATACAGAAAACATTTTATGAAAGTTTTTTAGTTAAACATTATTATTATTATTATTTATTTTTTACTGACACAAAAATGACTAAACATTGATTTCAATCACATTTATGGTGAGGCGATGCAGCTGCTGGCAAACAATCAGAAGAGTTCTATACAGTTAAGAAAGAGGCCACAGGATGTTGTGAAAGGGGTCTTCCTGTCTCACACAGACTTAACCTGTGCCATGCTAACCCAGAAAGAGAGAAAGAGAGAGACTGCATTGCAACAGACACCTCTGTGTGACATAAACAACTTATATTGATAACAACAAGACATATTCTTGATCACATACGTGACCCTGGACCACAAAACCAGTCATAAGGGTCAATTTTTTGAAATTGAGATTTATACACCATCTCAAAGCTGAATAAATAAGTTTGGCTATTGCTACAAATATACCCCAGCGACTTAACACTGCTTTTGTGCTCCAGGGTCACATATTATATTGTTATTCAAACTAGTTGCTCGGAATCTATACAGTAAAAGATGTTATAAAGAATCGGTACTCTTTAAAACGGTGTTTCTGTATCAGTTGTAACAGAATCTCATTGTAGAGGCGTGTAAATGATGATGCTGGAAGAGTGCACGGAAATAATGTCTTGTTATCGTGCAGTGAGCTGAAGAGAGAAGGCTCCAGAGCAAACGGAGAGGCGCTCCGGAGGAAGAGATCCCGCATGACCGAGAGACTTGCTGAAGACATGGACAGCTCGATGGAGATCGCCGAGGAGGACGATGAAGACTACGTCAGTTCACTTACTTTTACTCTTCATCTTTTGTTTTCAGATTTCTCTGGCTGGTTTTATGTAGCAGTGACGTGTGGGTAGGAAAGAAAGAGGTCATTGTGGCGAGATACAATTTTAACAGTCCCTAAAATCGAACGGCATTATTTTCTGGCTGCAGCCTCAAAAGACTCAGAACATTGTAATGATACACATGTAAGCCGGTAAACATCTGCCTTTTTAAACACTATTGCCTGTGGTACCTGTACACAATGCTGGTCAGTGTTGATAAACAAGAGTAAACAAGGTTTTTTGTTTTTCTTCATTTCAGACAGTGAAACATTCTTCATCAGGTTTCAGAAGAATTAAAAAAATCTCTTTCTTCTGCATAATTAATCTTTGCCTTGTTAAAAACAATATCTAAACAGCCTTAAAATGAGATTTGCTCGTGAAGCTAAAGGTGTTGCATTACACGAGGACATGTGTTTGCTTCCTGACAGATCACACACAAACACAAACTGATCTCATACAGTAGATCTCATATGAAAAGATGTCAGGATGATACAGTGATTTGTATGTGTGTGCGTGTGTGTTTGTGTGTGTGTGTGTGTGTGTGTGTGATACACCGTACACACACATACATATTATGTAAACACCAACTTTTATTTTGGATGCGATTAATCGATTTGTCAGCCATAGTATTTATTAATATTTTTACAGTCACTTATTCAAATGGAGGGAAATACATATATGTATGATTTAAATGATAGTGTGTGTGTGTGTGTGTGTGTGTATGTGTGTGTGTGTGTGTGTGTGTGTGTTTGTTTGTGTGTGTGTGTGTTTGTGTAGCAGGAAGAGAAAGAAAGCAGGCGACCGGCACGTGGGGCGACGAGAGGCCGCAGGAAACGTAGAGGAGATGCAGCGCTGCTCAGATACAGTGAGACACACACACACTCACAGATGGCTGTGACACCTATATGACACTCTATGACACCTGCGATTGTTTCCCATGATGCAGCGGTTCCGTATGGAGGCAAGAAGAAGGCGTGGTGTTGGGCCTCATACCTGGAGCAGGAGAGAGCCATCGCTGCCCCCAGTAAACTCTTCAAGGAGGTGAGACAACACACGCTAATGTTCAGTGCCACTGTTATGAAAGAACACTACCTTTGATTCCACCTTGATACATACATGAATATCTAGTGATGCACCAGTATAGAGTTTTTGTTGATATGGATTATATTTTTGAGGGCTGTCAAGCGATTTAATCTACTTAATTATGCGATGCGACGATTAATTAATCTAATTAATCACGTATCAAATTTGGCTGAGAAATTACCCCCAAAAGATAATTTGAAGTCATTATTATGTTACATGAGAAAAGCATGAAGTAGACATTACAAAACGTAGGTCTAGCTTTAGAAATAAATATTTGATTTGATTCAACAGAATTTTTTACCCATTAACTTTTAAGCTACAACGGCCATGATTTTTTTTTTCTTAAGCTGCATCTGAATTGGTATTTGGAAATATTTACAGACCATTTATTGCAGCTCCAACACAGTTTGGTTACCAACACTTTTAAAAATATTGTCTTTTATGTTCTGCAAAAGAAAGAAAGTCCTATAGGTTTGAAATGACAGGCGTGAGTAAATTATGACAGAATTTTCATTTTTAGGTGAACTTTGTTTTTTTGTAATTGATATGGAAATACGAATTTTTTTAAACAAAATGATACTTTAAATAAGAAACGTAAACTGCCATTGGGTGGCGGTTGGGTCTTGATTAATGAGTAAGTCATTGAGTCATTCATTCATTTGATTTGTTTAAAACGGCTGATTCATTCAGGAATAAAGTAAACGGCTCTCTTTATGAATGGACCATTGAATCTTTATTCACCTGATTCATTCAAAACATGGATTCATTCAGAAATGAATCACCTCTGTTTGTTGCTCGGAGATGCACAACAGTTCTGCTGTGGCTTTATAGGTAATATGTTTGTTGGCAAAATTGAGCAAGAACAGACAATATTGTATCTAAAATATAACACAATATTATTTATTGAACTGTTGTATGAAATCAGTATCACATTTGAACTTGTCCTATTGAGGACAAAAACATGTTATTGATATTGCTCTCGTTGCTTGCATGATATTACGTAACTATATCATATTATATGAATATGAGACAAAATCTCATGCAGGGGCATTTTTGCCCCAATCTCTAGAATTGTAGAGCATATAACTGCATTCTATAGGCTCCATCACTGCATCATGTTCATCACCAATCAACGGTAGTCACAATCTTCACTGCATTTCCTGCTGCTACTGCAGCCTTTCAGAAAAAAAGAGCCTTTTTGCATGCTGCAGGTTGGAAACAGTCTGTCAATTGTGCCGTGACCTTCTCCTGGGCACTTCAGTGCTTAAAACAAAAAGAGCAATTTCCCTGAAATAGTGACACAGGTGTGACGTTGCATCTTTTTAAAGATGTCATTCCATCCGTGTGTTTCTGGATGCGGTCGTTTCCTGGCCTCGTCTGACAATCACGATCGCTGTCTCACGTGCCTGAGCTTAATGTGCATTTGATCAGATGCACATAACTGAAGTACAGGGTTATGAGATACATTTTGTGAATGCTTGGCTAAAGAGATGTCTTTAATCTAGATTTAAACAGAGAGAGCCTGTCTGAACCCCAAACATTATCTGGAATCAAAAATGTTAATCAGGAACATTATCATACTTCCACAAATTAAGGCCTTAAATTCATAAAGCCATGGCATTAAATGCTGCATGCATTGCTAAAATTAATATCTGCATAATTTCTGCTGTATTTTTGTCTTGTTTTCTGATGCAAGAATGATTACCTAAGTTTTACGGTTGTCAATGCATGTCTTAGTCCATTTTGTGCCTGTGTTGTTAGTAGATTACCTGCATTGTCAGTTGTGTCTGTGCTTTTTTGGGATTGCACTCTCACGCTAATCTGCCCTGTTTAGTAAATCTGGCCCATGAACTCTTGTTTTCTGAGAAATTGAACAAAATTAAGTGAGTTTATGTTTAAAACCAGAACAAATATCTGTCATGGGGGAATGAACACTTGTTTTCCCTGTGAATTAAGCTGATTATTGGCAGATATTTGTTCTTGTTTTATTAATAAACGCATTTGGTTTTGATCATTTTCACAGAAAGCAAGACTTATGTCATTTTTTTTCTCTCGAGTAAATGCATCTTGATTTTAGCCCCTTAACTGTCATACCCGCTTTGGAACACAGACCTAAGGATATATTTTTAAAGATATGAAAAAAATGAAAAATGAATGTATGCAAAAGTTATATAACTTTAAATTTACTGTAAAGAAAATGTACTGTACAAATTTTTTTAAATTTAATTTAAAATAAATATTTTACAAAATATGTTTTAATCCAAAATTGCTATAAAATTAAAGCCTTATGTCTAAATAAGTTATGTTCCAAATTTGAAGTTGATACAAAAAAAAAATGTGTTTAGGCGTTATACCAAAAATAGCCACCGGGTGACACCCAAACTCCATTGAATTTTTTAAAATGCATTTTTCTGTCACAAATGTATACATTTCTCTCACAATATTGCTTCTATCTCAAAATAACCACCAAATGTGGAATCTTGAGACTCAGACCTTTCCAACGATATGTATTTTGTCAAGATAAAAATATAAAAAGTTTTGATTGTAAAATACCGTAATACAATTTGTAATATGAAACTTGACACCGCCCACTCACCCCCCATTTTTTAAAATAGGCATGAAAGTGCACTATCCAAACTTAAATTGTTGTAATTTATGAACACTTTGGAATTCAGACCTAAGGTTGGTCTCTTTTTAAATAAGAAAATCAGCAGATTATTGCAAAAGATTATTGGAATTTTTTCAAAAAATTAAAGTATCAAAAAGTTATATAAGTTTACATTTACTGTAAATAAAATGGACTAAATTAATTAAATTTTATATATAATAAATATTTTACATAACAGGTTTTAATCCAAAATTGCTATAAAATTAAAGCCTTATGTCTAAATAAGTTATGTTCCAAATTTGAAGTTGATACAAAAAAAAAATGTGTTTAGGCGTTATACCAAAAATAGCCACCGGGTGACACCCAAACTCCATTGAATTTTTTAAAATGCATTTTTCTGTCACAAATGTATACATTTCTCTCACAATATTGCTTCTATCTCAAAATAACCACCAAATGTGGAATCTTGAGACTCAGACCTTTCCAACGATATGTATTTTGTCAAGATAAAAATATAAAAAGTTTTGATTGTAAAATACCGTAATACAATTTGTAATATGAAACTTGACACCGCCCACTTTGGGGGAGGAGACCGCCAAAAGATTTTAAAGTACCATTTCCATGGTAACACAATGTCTGATTTCAAAATGGTTTTCACAGGACTAATTATAAGCCATAATTCATTATAATTATATCATTATAATTATAAATTATAATGATATATAATTTATAATGATTACTAAAAGATGTGATAGGGAAAAAAGGAGCGCCAAGTGTCCTGCCAATGGGACGGTAACAGTTAAGAGGTTAGGGGTGGGAAATATATACCGGTAGACACGATTAACCGATAGAAATTTGTCAACCGGTAGAGTTTTTGGACTATCGTCTCTATCACGGTTACACGTGCTCACGTGACGTTGCTGTGCTACGTGGTCACAAAAACATATCGTTTGCACGCATTTTTTAAGCATTGCAGTTTAAAAACAAAGGATTTTAAGCCACTGAAACGCAGTCAGCAGCGAGAGAGAACTCATTTCACTATACTCTGTGCGCGCGCTGTCTGAGAGACTGTTTCTGAGCGCTGTCAGAGAGGCGTGTGCACGTGAAGACGGTGCTTGTAGAGCGCAGGAGTATTGAGCCGAGTTATTTTTGCCACTTTATAGGGCTTGAACGGTTAAATACACACACTTTTATGTGTCAAAATGCCCGTCTTTGCAAGTATCCTCTTAAGCCCAGTAATTTAGATCTTAAGTGAAAGCAAACAGCTGAGAAAGAAACAGTATATTGGATCCGGGTAGCTCTTAAAGTGACGGCAGTCTTAAATTCCTGCAACTAGGTACTAACCCTGAACCTACCCCTAAACCTACCCCTACCCCATGTAGTTACCTTATATTACCAGTACTTTCTTGGGTAAGTACACAGTAAGTACATTGTAAGTACATGGAAGTACACATACTGTAAAATAAAGTGCAACCGAAAAATTTACACAGTGAAGAATACGCAGTGTTTTTGATACACTTGATTATACAATGTATGTAGCATTTCTTATTCATTTGTTCTACTGTAGTTTTTTGTCTTATTGTTTCTTATTTTTATTTAATCGCTGACTGTTTACTTCTCTTCAGTGAGCTTGAGTTTTTTTGTATTTTATTTTATTTAGGCTAGTATTATTTTTTTTAGTGATATTGACACTGGTGACAAGAATTATGACATTTCTATGGTATCAAAAATGTTGATATCATAAAGACCTTATTTAAAGCAAAAATAACTATATTGTGATATATATGGTTACCATGAAATAAAATTACTCTTATCGCGATATAAGATTTTGGTCATATTGCCCTTCTCTACTTGATTTAAGAATCTTTAGAAATTTTCATTGGAAAACAAGACAAAAATACTGAGGAACTGCACCTTTTTGCAGTGTGATCAGAAGGTACAGTAAAAGTTATTTCTCTATTCGGTTGAGAGCAGAGCTATTTAAGCCATAATTTTTTTTTCTGTAAAATGAATTAAAAATTAATGAAGATCAAACTTGTATTTTCAAACTTTGAATTGTTGGTAATACAAATCATTGTCTGCTCACTAGATCTACATTTAGGGACCGTATTAATGTATTTTGTTCCCTTCAATTTATTCCTTACATTTTCTGTATTTGGTCTTAAAAAGGTCTTAAAAAGTCTTAAGAAAACCCCGCAGAAACCCTGTAATAAATGTGCAAAGTTATCACAGTTTTGTCACTATGGGGTATGAAGTGTATCATTTTAGCATAAGGTTGTGACATAAAATGTAAAAAAAATGAAGGGGTCTGAATATTTTCTGAATACACTGTAAGAATTATCAGCCATCTGTATTAATGAACATTTGTTTGCTGGTGCATCTCGAGCTTTATAAGGAGTGTATAACTGGACTCTCTCTCTCTGTGTGTGTGTGTGTGTGTGTGTGCAGTATCAGTCGTTTCCGCAGTGTAAGAGTGGCTTTAGGGTTGGCACGAGACTGGAGGGTATCGACCCTGAACACCCATCCATGTACTGTGTCCTCACAATCGCTGAGGTAACTACCGAAACTGAAGTACTGTCTAAATAGTCTGTAAAAGTTGTAACATGCTATTTTAAAGTCATGTTACTTTCCACCTTGTGGCTGTATTGTGCATATTTGCAGGTGTTAGGGCATCGAATCAGACTGCATTTTGATAAGTATTCGGACTGCTATGACTTCTGGGTAAATTCCAGCTCTCCTGACATTCACCCAGTGGGATGGTGTGAGAAAACCGGACACAAGTTACATCCACCTAAAGGCAAGAGACATCAACGATTCAAAGAACACCCACAATTCAGTTCAAGCGTTCAATGGCCAAATTCTAGTTGAGATTAATTGGTTCTGTTTTGCATGTAAAATTCTACATATATTTTTTTCACTTAGATGACTAAAGTGTAGCAGTATTTACTCTTGTTCCTCACATGGCTTGTGTGGTTTTTTGTGTTTCTGTAGGGATGAAGGATGAAGAGTTTAGCTGGTCCTCTTACATCAAACTAAATAAAATACAGACGGCACCCAAAGCCCTCTTTCAGAACCAGAACATGGTGAGAGCATCACATGATTCCAGATGAAGCCACATGAAATGTGTCCCATCTTCCCCTAGATGGCAGTGTTTCACTTCATGTAATAAAGCACTTAAACTAGTTAAAATCAAAGAAGACATCCACAGCACATTTAACCTACATTAAACACTTCACTTATATATGACCCTGGACCACAAAACCAGTCTTAAGTGTCAATTTTTCAAAATTGAGATTTATACATCATATGAAATCTGAATAAATAAGTTTTCAATTGATGCATGGTTTGTTAGGATCGGACAATATTTGGCTGAGATACAACTATTTGAAAATCTGGAATCTGAGGGTGCAAAAAAATCTAAATATTGAGAAAATCATCTTTAAAGTTGTTCAAATGAAGTTCTTAGCAATGCATATTACTAATCAAAAAAGAAGTTTTGATATATTTCAAAATATCTTCATGGAACATGATCTTTACTTAATATCCATTTTTGGCATAAAAGAAAAATCCATAATTTTGACCCATACAATGAATTTTTGGCTATTGCTACAAATATACCCCAGCGACTAAAGACTGATTTTGTGCTCCAGGGTCACATATTATTTAACAGTAACAGGACATAGATACAAGTGAAACGGAATATTTAGTTAAAACTTGACTTGATTTTAGCATCAGGATTTTATTGCATCATGAAATGCTAAGATATCATCGGTTAATACAATAATTTAGGTTGCAAGTTATTAAAATTGAATGGATAAGCTGTGTTTTTCAGACCGTGACGCCGTCAGGGTTTAGGGTTGGTATGAAGCTGGAGGCCATCGATAAGAAGAATCCCTCGTTCATCTGTGTCGCCACGATTACAGACATGGTGGATAGTCGATTCCTGGTGCACTTTGACAACTGGGATGAAAGTTATGACTACTGGTAAATTCACATCTTTGAATTCATGTCTTTATGCTTTGTTCCTGTTGTGCCTTTCCCTGAAAGGGAACAATATTTTTTATCTTTGGAAAGGATCATATTTTAAGACTTTCTATAGATTTCTATCAATACAAAAACTTGTAAGATGGTAATTGCTTATGCATTTACATGACCACATAGATGTCGTTTAAGGCTGATTGTTGAAGCATTACCCCTAAACCAGTATGTGTCATTACAGCAAAGTACTAAAAGTGATTTTTTTTTTACTCAAGTCTAATTCTTACTCTGTAATTTAAATTCTGGTAGTATCACTCAGTTTTAGCTATTCTCTTAATTTCACCACGATCACACATAGTTATAAAAATATTAATAACCAAGACATTGTTAATCTTTTGTGCCAAACATGACACTTTCCAAAATGTTAAAACCCCAAGTATGAATATATTTAAATATTTTTTAATATTTATTACTTCTTGTTTAAAAAAAATAAAATAAAAATAACTATAATAGAGTTATCACTTTTGAACCAATATGAGTGTGAACATATACATATACAGTACATGAACAATGCAATACTGAAAAAGTATAGGAAAACTAACATCTGTTGAAGCCATGTGGTCCAAAAACAAAATGAAATCATCATATTTTAATTTTAATCAAACTCAAAGCATCATTTGGGTAGAGTTAGATTTTTTTTTAATTCTGTGTAACTCCTGCTCATACAAATTGGCTGAAATGCTGATGAAATTGATGAAACTGAACAGGCTTAAATCTATCAAATGACTAAGTTGAGTATCTTGTTAATTATTTCAGTTGTAATAAGTCATGAAGACACAAATTGGGCATATTCTCATTCTTACGAGTGACCCAGTTATCATTCTGTGCTCATCGTCCATTCTCTGCTGTGTGTGTGTGTGTGTGTGTGTGTGTGTGTGTGTGTGTGTGTGTGTGTGTGTGTGTGTGT